TCTCTGCCTGCCCCTCGCCCTCCCTCATCCCGCCCCTCGCCCTCTCTGCCTGCCCCTCTCACGGCTTCACACGGCTCCCGCCACACACGTTTACATGTGACAGCGCGCAGTTTGGGTTTCGTGCTTGGCTGCAGCCTAAATCTCAGCATGGGGATTAGCGTCTCTGTAACTTTGTCACAATTAAAAGGGACTTTAAGGGGGGAGGGGGGGGAGCTCAAAGGCTTTATCCCCCAGCATCGCTATTTTCAGATGTTCTCCCTCCCCTTCTCTCATTCCATTAGCACGTAAATATTTATGACTACAAATGCAGAATTGTTTCCTCCTCCTTACCCGGCCCCCCCTCCACCCCTGGTGTCCTGCTTTATAAGCGAATTATTACAGCTGCTTGAATCTTCCTGATAAATGATGGGGCTGCCCGTGGCGGGGATCTTGTTTCCAGCGAGTGGCTCCTGTGAATGGCCACAGTCATGTCTGCAGAAATAGAACCCCTCTGGTGATTAGCTGTGCCCCCCCCCCCCAGCCAGACCTTCCTGTTGTCCTGGGACATCTGATAGTGTGCTGGTGACTTCTGGGACACAGTCTTTCTAAAGTAGGCCTGCTAATATCCCCCCCCCCCCCAATAAGCCATGTGTGGGGCTTTATCTACCCCCTAGCAGTGTTCAAGCCCTTTTTAAAGATGGCGGTCAGGTGGGTGCGCACGGTGCCACACCCACTTTACCTGCATTATCTGCGTCCCCACATTGCAGTTTGATGCTACAGCATAACTTCCTTGACTGCTTTTTAGCATCTTAAGATGTCCACCTTGTCCCCCCCTCTCAGGCACGTGATTTGTTAAAGCGGCTGGTCACATGGGCCTCAGTGAACCAGTGGTTTCTTGAAAGCTAGTCCACGTGCCTCTGTCACGTGACCTCATTTCCTCCCCTCTTCTGCGGTTGTAGAACAACTCGGTATCGCCGTCGGACAGCCTACGTACCGCCAGCGAGAAGCACCGGGGCTCCTCCGAGTACAACGTGGACTCGAAGAAGCGCAAAGTCGAGGAGAAGGACAGCATGAGCAGATATGTGAGTGACCCACGCAGTCTTTCCGTCTGCCACCCTGCTCACTGCTGATTTATCCCCCCCCCCCCCTCGTGGTGACACTTCTCTCCGCTCTTCCTGCAGGACAGCGATGGAGACAAGAGCGATGACCTGGTGGTGGACGTGTCTAACGAGGTGGGTGGGTGGGCTTGCCATGCATTTCTGCATCTCCTTGTGTCCGCGTGTTTTCTCGCCCGCTTACGTCCTGCTGGCTGTCGTATAGGACCCCGCCACCCCGCGGGTCAGCCCCGCCCACTCCCCTCCAGAGAATGGCCTGGACAAATCGCGGGTCCTCAAGAAGGACGCCCCCAACAGCCCTGCTTCAGTGGCCTCGTCCGGCAGCACGCCCTCATCCAAGACCAAGGAGCACGTCCATGTAAGCCCCTCCTTTCTCAGGGAGCTGCCCGCCATGACGTACCTCCCTGCTACTGCTACTTGCACGTATGGTTCAGGCATGAAGGCCTCCTCATTCTCCTACTCCTGCTGTACATATGTCTATGATCACCACATGTAGAGCATCATGAATGTCCTGCTACTTCACGTATGTTTCATGTCTGCTTGGCTCATCTGGGAGGTGCAGCCAATGCATGTGAGGACTGCGTAGGATGGCCTGAATAAGGAGTATTTCCATAGCACCCTGAATTTTAATATAACCCCACCCCCCCACCCCAAAACAGAATGACAAGTCTTCCACACCTGTCCTGAAGTCCAACACGCCTACCCCACGTAATGATGCCCCTACCCCGGGCACAAGCGGCAACCCTGGACTCCGGCCGATTCTGGGCAAGCCCCCTGGCATGGAAACGATAGGTAGGGCACTTGTGTTCCCGGCCACCCCCATGTTCCCCCCCTGCTCCCACTGCCCTCAGAGCAGCCAATCGTTTCCCTTATCACTCTTCCCACCAGCTCCGGCTCTGAGGACCCCGCTGTCCATCGCTGGGTCCTATGGCACACCGTTTGCCATGATGGGTCACCACGAGATGAATGGTGCCCTCACCAGCCCCGGGGTCTATGCTGGCCTGCACATCTCGCCCCAGATGAGCGCTGCAGCAGCTGCCGCTTACGGCCGCTCTCCCATGGTGAGTGCCACCCCCTCCGTATGCTTTCTGGAATTTCCGGTGAGCTTTGCCCATTCGAGTCTGGCGGATACTCTGTGAGCTCCGGAGCCTCACCTCCCCGACCTTGCACCTACAGGTTGGGTTTGATCCTCACCCACACATGAGACCCCCGGGCCTGCCCGCCAGCCTCACGTCCATCTCCGGAGGAAAACCGTGAGTGTCCCCCAGAATCCAAATGGTGCGGTGTAGAATCCGAAGGGTGTGGTTTCTCGAATGGCACGCCGGCTAGTCCAAATGACGCCCTGGCTAGTCCCTGCTCAGCAATGCTGTGCACTTCAGCTTCTTATTAAGGCTTTTGCCTAATTGTGCTAATTGAGCTACCTGGTCCCGTGCAGCAAGATCACCTAGTTCTCCAACAGAAATGTTTGGTGACATCGCTCTCTCCATCCGGCCCAGGGCATACTCATTCCACGTGAGTGCGGACGGGCAGATGCAGCCGGTACCCTTCCCGCCCGATGCCCTAATTGGGCCCGGCATCCCGCGGCATGCGAGACAGATCAACACGCTGAGTCATGGCGAGGTGGTGTGCGCAGTCACCATCAGCAATCCCACGCGGCACGTCTACACCGGCGGCAAGGGCTGCGTCAAGATCTGGGACATCAGCCAGTCCGGGAGCAAGAGCCCTGTGTCCCAGCTCGATTGCCTGGTGAGCTGCTCTCCGGATGGTCCCCTTCTGAGGACACGATCAAAACGCGACCCCATCTGGGTTTCCGGAGATGCTTCCCTGACTCTGTGTTTTCACGAAAACCTAAAGTTTGTTTACCGTTGTTCTTCTGGAACAGAACCGGGACAATTACATCCGGTCCTGTAAGCTGCTTCCGGACGGGCGCACGCTGATCGTGGGCGGGGAGGCCAGCACGCTGACCATCTGGGACCTGGCCTCGCAGACGCCGCGCATCAAGGCGGAGCTCACCTCCTCGGCGCCCGCCTGCTATGCTTTGGCCATCAGCCCTGACGCCAAAGTCTGCTTCTCCTGCTGCAGTGACGGCAACATCGCTGTGTGGGACCTGCACAACCAGACCCTCGTCAGGTAGGCGGGGCTTCCCGCGACTGGCCCGGAGTCCGGACATGTGCAGCGCCGCCGGGTTCTTAAGGCCATTCTTGTTTGTGTGGTTGCAGGCAGTTCCAGGGCCACACAGACGGGGCCAGCTGCATCGACATCTCTCACGATGGAACCAAGCTGTGGACTGGGGGGCTGGACAATACGGTGCGGTCCTGGGACCTGCGGGAGGGCCGGCAGCTGCAGCAGCACGACTTCACCTCCCAGGTAACCCCCCCCCCCGCCCCCACACACATCCGATTGAGACCTGTGGGCTGCCAAATCCCAGCAGACTTTTGTGAGGTCGTGACTTCTGACCCCCCCCCCCCAATGCAGATCTTCTCCTTGGGCTACTGTCCGACGGGAGAGTGGCTGGCCGTTGGCATGGAGAGCAGCAACGTGGAGGTTCTGCACCACACCAAACCCGACAAATACCAGCTGCACCTGCATGAGAGCTGCGTGCTCTCGTTGAAATTCGCCTACTGTGGTGAGGGGGCTGTATTCCTAACGGTTTCCCTCTTGGTTTCCGCTTGTGGACCTCGTCACGATACCGTTGTGCATCCTGTTAACCCGGGTCTGTGTCTCTCTGCAGGTAAATGGTTTGTGAGTACTGGAAAGGACAATCTGCTGAATGCCTGGAGGACCCCCTACGGAGCAAGCATATTTCAGGTATGCCAGATCCGTCCATCCAATCGGGGCACACACGGGCCGCCATAAGGTGACACTGGGCCACGGAGAGTAATCGGTACTGGATAATATGGAAAGTAACCCGATCATATCCCCCCCCCCGCAGTCAAAGGAGTCCTCGTCCGTCTTGAGTTGTGACATCTCGGCAGATGACAAGTACATCGTCACAGGCTCTGGTGACAAGAAGGCGACAGTCTATGAAGTCATCTATTGAGTCCTGCAGGCGGCACACTGGAGCACCATGGGTCCTGGTGGCGAGATCTTCACACACGTGCACACACACGCATACACACCTGCCGGCCCCCACCACTAGAATCAAGGTCTTGGACACAAGTTGGACTGGGTTCGGAGGTGTTCTCTTGCGTTCTCACCCGTTTGACGTCCTGTGTTGGAAGCCCCCAACCCCCCCCCCACCAACTGAGCGTGCTCCATACAGCACTAGAGAAGTAAATATCTGGCTGTAAACCTCCCCCCCAACCCATATTTCCTTCCTCGGATTGTTTTATTTTTATTTTTTTAAACGAGAAGAACTTTCTGTAATGCTGCTGGAAGCGGCTCATTTTTTTCCTTTTTTCCTTTTTTCCTTTTTTTTTTATCGTGCTCCCTGGAAGTCTTGTGAAAAGTGTAAATATTGGAGTAATAAAACATTTTATATATATATATATATATACACACACTTATATATTTTCTTGTCCCTGGTACCTGGTGATGATTCTGTTCTTGTCGTTTTCTTTATGCCTGATATGGGAGATGAAAAAGTAGTTCGTTAATATTAATTTTTTTTCTTTTCTTTTAAGGGGTGCTTTGGATTTTTCCCCCCCCAAAGTGCTTTATTCCAGGCTGACCTCCACTGTTAACAAAGTATAGTTTTCCCAGAAATGTATTTTTTTTGCTCTGGAGTGAGTTTGAAGAGGATTTTCCCTGTTGGTGTTGGATGCTGTCCGATGGCGTGCAGGGAGCTTGGGGCCCCTCCCTCAGGCACTGCCCTGGTGCATGATGGGAGATCGAGGCAGAAACCTACCTGTAAATGAATCCGCTTTAGCTGTGCAGGTGGAAATGGGAGGTTTTTTTTTTTTACCCAGCGTTTTGGTTACTAAGTGTCCCGTGTGTTGTCATGGCACCCATCCCCATTGGTCCTGCTGGAATTGAGAATCGTGTTGTCCAATCGGTGCCGTGCGTGCGGGTCCCTGCCCTGGTCTGAACCAGATGGATGAGGCTTTTGTTTTCGTTTTATCTTTTTCTTTCCTTCCCCTCACAGTGCCTGTATTCCTGTGGGTTATGTGTTGGGGGGGGGGGTCTTCAACAGGGATAACGCTGCAGTATGGCATAATGAGGAAAGGGGGGGAGCAGTTTGATGCGGGGCCCCTGGCGTGGGGCCCCTGGGCTGTGGCACTCGCTCCCTCTTTGTAACTGGCTTCTCAAACTCACACCAAAGTATGTAGCAGACAGTCAGCACTGAAAATATGTACAGCGGTTAATGATTCAATAAAATGTTTTTGTAAAAAAAAAAAAAAAAAAAAAATCTATATACACACACACCTGGGTGTAAAGAGAGATGTATTAATTCCCAAACCTGATTACGTCTGAGAGGTTTAAGATGGATTTAAGAGCCAAATCTTTATAGTGTTGAACATTTACATAGAGGTTTTAACCTTGTATTATACTGGTTAAATAATTGGTATGTAACATTTTAGGCATATTTTTTGGAATGAAAGGCACCACTCTGTAATAACTGTGTGACAGTAACTACAAAAATGTAAATAAACTTTTCCTTTTAAAGTTAGCGCTGACTTGGGAGGGCAGCATTCGGGCACGGTTGGCATTCGGGCACGGTTGGCATTTGGTGTCGCTTTTAATGTCAGTCTGAACCAGTAATGTACAAAGGTCACCTGGCTGAAGGGGAAGGCTTGTGCCAGTTGCTGCTTAGGCTAAAGGTGGATGTTGTGGAGTGGAGTGGGGGGCAGCCTTCTGTTTTTGCAGCTTTTCTGTTTTGTAGGCTTTCAATCTGACTCGGCGATGGGTCTGAATGAAGACTGAAGAAACGAGTGGGATGCGATTCCCGAAAGTCGCGGTGGATTCTCAGTCGTTGCTGATTTTGCACCGTGTGGGGGTGGCGGTCACGTTTCCCCAGCGCCTGTGTCCATGGCAACCAGGCATCTCCACCCTCTCTCGAATGAGCTGTCCTGGCTCTCGGTCGGATGTGCACCCTGGGTCCTGCCGTGTGCCGGGTTCCTCTCACACCCTCACCATACGCTGTTGGCTTGTGCAGCCATCGGAGCCTGGAACGGCCAAGGCGGACCGGTGGTCCTAGCACCAGCTCAGCCTGGAGGACGTGGCCCCGTTCTGACTTCTTCCTTTCTGCCCTGAAGCTGGATATTTCTGAAACTGGGCTGCTTCAGCTTCGTGGGTTCTCCGCATTGAATAAGGAACTTGGGGGTGGCACTTACTACCCCCGGACCTTCAAGGCTTTCTTCAGAATGAAGAGGTTCTACACAGTGTTGCCCCCCCCCCCCCCCCCCAAAGGAGGAAAATTTATCTATTTCCCGGTTCCCTGTGTGTTTCCCTGCTGGCCCCCGGGTGTCCTTCGTGTTCATTTTCACATTCTGCGGGAGGACTGGGGCATGCTGTCCGCACCGTGCTGGGGGTGTGATGGACGCTGGGGGCGGTTCCAGTCACCGGTGGGCCGGACATGTGCCGCGAGCATCGGGGGGGCCGGCCTCTGACAACGGCAACAGGGGTGGGGTCCTCTGCCGTCCCAGATGGCACCCTGAAAGGCGGCAGCTCAACTTGGGTCCGATTTGTTTGTGTCGTCTGCACGGCATGGAAGCCTCAGTTTGGCGTGATGGATGGTCCTCGAGAGTGAATTGAACTGCGGTCAGAACCCGCCTTGCAGTTTTGAGACCCCTCCCCCCCCCTTGCCGTGTCACTGTACCCAGACCCAGAACCGCATGCCTCCCATGGCCTGATTTATTTACTATTTATCTGCAACATATGGAATTCTACCTCTGTCTGTATCTGCGTTTCATTCTGAAACCTGGTGCTGATTTTTGACCTGGCTGCGACCGCGCTGCGCGCATTTCCAAACTGCACGTCATGCAGACAGCCCATAAATTGCTTGCAAACCGTCATCCTTTTTTATTTTTTTTTTCCCCTGTGAAATCACACGTGTTGGCTCCGAATAGCTCGAATCAGCCCCAGAATAATATTAAATGTTATATTTCATTATTTAAAATAAAAATCCCTGAATGTGGCGTCTCTGGGCATGATGTCCGTTTCTCCGCAGCTTGGTCCTGCTGGCCTCTGAGTGCCTGTCCCCCCCCCCACCCCCCCAGCTCTCAGCCTGAAATGCTAGGCTTTCATATACTAGGCTCCTGTCCTCCCGCCCCCCCCCCCCTGGCTCTTCAGATACCCTGGTGCTGGAGATAAAGGCCGGGCTGCAGGAGCTTTCAGTGGGTGGGGGTGGGGGGGGCGCCATGCCTCGCCCCCCAGGCTGCCCCTCGAGCTGGGCTTCTGTAACAGTCCTCACCTTTCAGCTCCTTTGTGCGTCCCTGAGTGCATGTGCGGCCGGACGGGGGCCGCAGAGTCCCGCTCCCCAAAGCGGGGGCTTTCCTCCTCACTTAATAAGGCAGCTGAAGAATACCTGGAGATTAAAGGGCCCCCACTCCTGAGAGCTCCGCGCTGGAGAGGCTGAGTGCTTATTGTTCCCGGCTGGGCTCCATACACCCTGCTGACCTCTTCCGGAGGAGGCCTCTTTTATCGCCGCGGCCAGGAGTGACCGCTTCACACAAAGCACACTTTGGATGGGGGGGGGGGATTTGTAGAACGGCATGTTTTTTTTTCTTAATCGCCTTCTCTGATTTCTTGTGTTCTTGGTTGATAACTCTGCACCAGAATCCTGTTTCCTCACTGAGAATCGCTGCGATGGGGAGGGGCAGCTGGATAAGATGGGGGGCTGGGGGGGCTGGGGGGGCCGTGAAGGCACACGGGCACCTCTGATGCTGCCCTGCTCTTTGCCCCGAGGTGCTTCACTGATGACGTGGGCTTGGCTACAGGTCCGTGCTAAAGGGAGGGGGGAACGGTGCCCCCCACCCCCCCGAATAATCCTTTAATCGTTAGAGTATTGGCAGTCCTGGGTTTTAGCTGCGAGGGATGTGAAAACCCCCAGTGCTTTGTGATTACAGTGTTTGATCTGGGTAATAATGTCTTTACTGTTCGGCTGCGGGGGCCTGGGGCTGTGTGGCTGTAATCCGCCGTGCATTCCATCAGAATTACGTTTCACAAAGACCACCGGAGCGCGCTCTGCCCAGCAGAGGAGCCGCAGCAGGGGGAGGGGGGCCGCGCTCGGGGCAGCACTGGCCGGGGACGGGGTTGCTATGGACATTTGGGGTAGTGAAAGGGGCAGAGCCGCTTCCCGGGGGACAGATAGACAGACGGCGGGTTCCGTGTTTGTTCTCCTCGGTGGTTCTCTGCTCCTGGGTCCCTGCTAACCTTAGGCTGCTTCCTTCTTGTTCTCTTGGCTCCAGATGCCGATCGAAATGTCACGTGGTGAAGTTCTGCGTATCGCTGACGTTCCCAGACCGTCAGAGGCCTTCGCTGGGCGACCTTGGCTGCATTTGATCAGATTCCATCTGATGTAGATGTGGTAACCGGAGGGTTTGGATGCGCTATCTTGACGTTAATGCCGGTAGCCTGGGGGTCACAGCAAGGTTAGTGTAATGCCTGTGATCTCATAGTGTCCACTGAAATATGGAGGCCATTTTGAACCTTTGCAGTGCAAGTCTCTAAGTACAGCAAACTCTAGAAACTAGAAACTTTTGACCTTTGACCTCAACTGAATGTTTCATAACATTCCGGCTTGTCCGTTGTAGAGTGTGGTTTTCACAGTGGCCGTTCGGTGTTCTTTTGGGGGCTGTGAGGATACGTCATTCCTCACGCCTCGCCGTAGAATGAGTGTGTGATGTGGCCTGACAGATTAGTGAGAAACACACACACTCAGGGGTCATATTAATGTGCTCTTGTGGGATGTGAATAACAATGAAACATCCTGTCATTTTCGCTCTGAACAACATGTCTTTTTTTGGTCATTTTCACATGTATAGAAAAGTTTTATAAAAATCCCCTCCGGCGTGTTGTGTAAGCGAGGGCCCCGTTACAGTAAGCGGCTTGCCCCAGGGCACAGTGTGCTGCCTGACCGCTGTTGGCTGACTCATTTCCTCCGTGAGGATGCATCGCCGTGACTTGCGGCTGTGGTCTCCCGCGTCTCTCCCGCGTCTCTCTCACTCTCTCTCTCACCCTCTTTTAGCAGGTCATGGGTGGGTTTAGCGTGATGCAGATTCATGGGCCAAAGAGCCCCAGAGACACCCCCACTGCGGGCAACAAGCCGGTTCTGTGAAGTACAAGTGCTTGGCATGGCCGTGACGACCAGATCGCCGACCCGCGCCGTGGTTTGGTGATCCATTACCCTCTCCCCCTCCCCCAGTTGGAACAGTGTCACCGGGTCACAGAGACCTGTTTTTAGCCATGCCGCGATCTTTCGGAGCGGGAAACCGGTCATGTCAGGCGGCTCCGAGCCGTAGGAGTGTGTAAACGATGCCTGTGTTATATCTGACAAGCCCGTCCCCCGCACCGTTTCTGTGTGAATCGAGGCAAGGCAGCCCGGATTTCCGGTGGTTGCCGTGAGGCCCCCCCCATCTGGCCTCCGCTCATATTTACTTAATAATTTATTACTTTGGTGTGTATGACTCAAAAAAAGGTTCAGCTAGAAGGCTGCTGCTGTTTTCCCCACATATTCAGGAACTGCGCGGTTTGATGGTGTGTTTTGGGTGTGTCCACGACAGGGTGCCCGCGCCGAGGGCTCACAGGAACCGCCAGGAAGTTCCACACACTGACAAGCAGCCGCTACCCAGCACTGCCGATGTCTGATCCTGCAGGGCATCTGACAGACAATCTACGTGACTCCTGGGTCCGTGTAGGTCCGGGGCTTCCCCAGCTGCAAACCATTCTGCTAACTCTGGGTCATGCATCAGCTGACAGTGTTTCGCGGAAGGTTCTAGAGTAGGGGTGTCAAACTGCAGTCCAGGGGGGGCGGAGCCCTGTGTAGCTTAGTTCTTTCCCTGTTTCACCACAAATGATTCAGCTCAACAGCTATGTGGTAATTAGCGCAAGAAGTTGAATCAGGTGTGTTAAACGAGGGGAAACCCAAAAATGAGCAGGGCTCCGGCCCTCCAGGAGTGGAGTCTGACACCTGTGTTCTAGAGCCTTACCCACAGACGGCACTGGGCAGCCAGCGAAAGCTGACTCTCGAGCCAAGCTCACTGAGAATCATCCATGGAGAGACATCACGGGGCAGCCAGCTGTTACTCTTTAAAAAAAAAAAAAAAAAAAAAGTGTATCTCACTTTTTGCTTTTCGTTCTGAAACTAACCACATTAAAATATAAAAAAAAACATGCAAATTTTGAACTTTTACAAGAATGTCATGCAAGTTCAGAACGGAAAAAAAACTGTTAGGTTTGAATAATTGTCCTGAGAACCAAACTAACAAAATGATGTTTCTTGGATTTGCCTCCATCCCAGATAGAGGTAGTTTATGATGAAGCATGTAATTCTGGCTGAGTGGAGATGCTGAAAGGCCCCATTCTGACCTTTTTAATGTTAACAGTCCAGTAATAATAATACCCAGCTGCCCCATATGTGTGTTCACTTAGTTACACGTTAATCCCCAGTTGCCTCACATGTATGTTCCCTTCATTACACGTTAATCCCCAGTTGCCCCACATGTGTGT